CACGAGGTCAGAGGGGCTATTTTCAAAAGGGAACCTGAATTTAAGGACTGGTCTGAAGAGCAAAGGCATGGGGTGGGATGCAGAGCCTCTATAGGAACAGCACAGCCAAGCAAATACAGGGTTCAGGGCTAAACCCTGTGTCACCAGGGAAAATTACTTGTGGTTACATTCAGTGTGCCTAATTAACACCCAGAGTGAGCACTAATTTGATTTCCAAAGCAGTTAAAAGCTGCCTCACGTTCGGAATGTGCAGAACTATGGGACTATATTTCCCAGACAGATCCATTCCTTCAGAAAAAGCACATTCAGCAAATAAAATGTCACCGAGGAAACCCAGCTTCAGGCTGCTGTGGTTTGCCTACAAGTTTACACAACACACCGCAATGATGGAAGGGTTTGGTTCTCCATTCTGTGGGAGAAGGGAAACCCACACAGCCCTTCCCATGGAAATGCTCTGCCAGGCCTCTGTGTGATCTGCTACCAGGGGCTGGAGCAGCAGCCTCATCCCTAAAATTCTCACTTACAGGTATAAAAAGATTTTTGCACTTCCCAGCCCTCTTCAAAATGCCTCCAAACCCCAATACTCACCTTAAGAGCACCACAGCTTCCACCCTGGGTAACAGGAGCAGTAAATCTCTGGGCCTTTTCCTCACTGTTTACTCACAGGAGCAGAAAAACAACATTAAAATACATTATTATTATAATATTACATTATAATATCAACCACCTTATACTGAGCCAGCAGCATTTATGCACACACAAGTTTAAGGAAGGCTGTAGAACTCACCTTGGCTGTCAGAAATCAGGAATATGTGTCAGTGTGACAAGGAAAATCCCAGTTCCCAGAGGGGCTGGAGAGAAAGACTGAGGGACACCCCTGTCCTTCCAGCTCGGAGTAAGGCTGGACACTGATGTCATCACAAATGCCCTGCCAAGGCTCTGCTGGCCTTTGGGGTGAGATCAGATATTTATTTTGGTCTGAAGAACCGCAAAAATGACAAATGGGTGAGGCCTCTGGAAAAGCTGAGCAAGAGAAAGAAGGTATATTGAAAAAACATCAGTTTGGGCCGATGCCAGCTTCCCAGAAAAGAAACAGGACGGTGATTCCTATCAGAGGAGACCCCCTGGATTGGTTTGAGCAGCTCTGGATCAAAAAGTAAAACAAGCAAAGGAGGAGAGATCCGATGCTGTGTCTGCGTGTCCAGAGATTATCCCGTAATTTGGTATAATAAAGCCTCTTATCCAAGGGGATAAGCACAGAAGCCGCTCCGCAATCAGCTCACTACCGAGGCAGAGTTTCTTATCTCTGGGGAAAAAGCCTTTTTAAACAAAGTGAAACTCTCTGGATGAATACACTGAGTAATTCCAAGGAGATGGTCAAACAAAAAAATCACTGTTTTCAAAGAAAACTTTGTGCTGACGTATCTGGTTCTAAATTCATTCATATGCAGTTGGCTGGACTTGCAAAGACCTTGAGATTCTCACTCAGTTCCTCACGCTGGGCTCCGTTCTGCTTTCCCTGCTCCGCTGGGCACTGTGGAATCGCTCCCAACGGAGCCATCCCGGGAGGTCCAGCTCCTTAGGGCCCGGAGGAGCAGCGGCACCGCTCGCCCTTCCCCTCTGGCTTTGGGGCGAGGAGGCCGGGAGCGAGCCGGAGCGCATCCCGCTGGCCGGGGATGGATGGCACAGCCAGCGGGATGGCAGGCGCTGCACGGACCCGCATCCCCCGGCTGTCACACACCCCGGAGGTCGGAGCGAGGGCAGGAATGCCGCAGGCGCCAGCCCAACAACGGGGACAGCGGCTCGGGCAGAGCTCGCCCAGTTATTCTCCCAGATCTTCTCCCCCAAAAACCAGGCTGACATGCAAAGCCCACTGCCAGGCTGAGTGTATCCAATTTTAAGCCAGTAACAACCACAACTCCCTTGTTGCACCCTTTATCCTCCCGCTGACCCATCCGTGATCCCTCTGATCCCTCTGAGCCCAGGGCTGCTGGATGCACACACACACACACACACACACACACATCCTCGGAGTCGCAGCCAGCCGGGGTTTTACCACCAGCGCTCAGTACAAACACACATTAAACCCATCACAGCTCCCAAATTCGTGTCGCAGGAGAGTCTCCGAGTCTCTTAACTCATTCCAGGTCTATGTGCTGCTCTTTACACGAGTTTCCCGAGGCTCCCAGGCGGCTCCTGCGGGGCTGTAATGAAGTCGTGACTCTGTGTGTGTGAAGTTCCTGCTGGAATGTGTAGGCAATTAATGCTTCTGTGGTTTCTCAGGCGGGAGGACGAGGACTGAATCTGCTCCAACACCTCCAAAACCTGCAGCATCGCATCCCTGACACCAGCAATCATTGTCCCCAAGGCAATGGGGCCGATAAGGACCCATTTGACCGAAGCCTGTTTAGGTTTGTAACATCCTTCCATGTGCTAGGAGTGATAATGGGCTGTGAAGGACGTGCTTTGCCCCAGGGAAAGTATTTGACTGGGATATTGGAGACTGATGGCGCACGGCTGCTGGGAAATTTTGGGGATAAGCTGAACGGAAACACGGACAAATTTATCCTGGAGGGGACAGTCAGACATCGGAGGAATGGTGCCATCTGTGTGGAATCCAGGCTGGCTGACTCGCAGAATCCCAGAATTTGGAAAAGACCTCCAAGACCATCAGGTGCAATCTTCAGCTGTGGTACTGCAGAAAACTTATCAACATTCTGGTCTGTTTCTTATTCTTCTTGATAAGGTTTTCCATTTGTAACCTGAATTTTATAGGAACGGGAGCTTTGTGCCTTCAGGCCATCCTAGGCAGCATGTTATTTAAATTGCTGTGTAATCCCTAAAAGCATTTTCCTGAGTATTCCAGGGGCACTTCCCAAGGAAAGTCTGAGGGTTCATCATCAAGCCCACTGTAAATTCCAGTCGGAAATCCTGGGTCAATGAATCACAGCAGCATCAATCCTATTTTATTATTACTGACACACATTTATGTACACACTCAATTTGCTTTTCCATGTCAAACTCCCTGTGTGTGCACAGCAGGATCTTACTGGTGCTTTTAATGAATAAACATGTATAATTAATCTGAAATTTTCTCTAAATGCAGCATATTTGGAAAGTTATTTCCAGTGTTTTCAAGCCCGAAATGTATCAGCATCAAGGTGGTTTGGAAAATGAAAGGAAGAAAAATGAGGGAGGAAACGCAGGATCTAGGGGAAGGCAAAGAGCAAACAGTAAGTGAATCCCATCACTCATGAAAAATTAATTATTAGAAAAATGAGTTATTATAAAACATGAGCCATTGTTAATTAGATCAAAGAAGATAAGTGACTCCAGCAAGAATTCTGGCCTGACATCTGTCCCAACAGGATTAATTTAAAATAAACATCAGGAAGAATGAAATAAATCAGTCCATTTGTGCCTCCTCTTGCTCTGGACCATAGAAGGCTGAGGCTTGCTATTAAAGAGTGATGAAAATGGTTTTTTTCCCTCTCTCTACCAATTAAAAGAAAAAGTTGCATTATTTCCAGATTTTAGAAGAAAACTAATTGGAAAAGTTAAATTCAAGACAATTGTTCAAATATTAGAAAAAAAAATGGGTTGGGAGCAAGGGGTCTGCCCTAAAAATGGGAGACTGCTGCCTGCCTGGATCCTGGTTTCCAGACCCCCATGAACCTTTGGGGCTGCTCTTGGGACATCACATTCCTGAGACAGGGAGGTCCCCTGAGGAAAGCAATTCCCTGGGGAGTCTCAGCCTTCATCTCGCAGGGAGGCGAGAACAAAACTCAACTGTGCTCGTTAACACGCCATGTAATTCCCTTTTTATAGACTAATTATCTGATGTGCTACGAATCCAATCCCACTCGTGGATCTTTGGCTGTGATAGGAGAAACATCCCCCAGCCTGGGACAGGGAGAAACATCTGATTGCTAAATTACCCTCACTCTGAGCAGTTCAGAGTCTGCTCCTTGAGAAATCCATCTCCGTGACCCAGGGCAACAGAGGATGCTGTTTCCTGCTAGGCAGGTCATTTGTGTTGAAGGAAAAAGGGGGAAAAAGGGATTAAGTGGAGGTGAGGGAACATTGTGTGTTCTGAGAGCACAAACCACGGCACAGGCTGCCTGGGATGTGGTGACCAGGGCCACCTGCTCTGCTCCTTAAATCCGGGTTCAGGGATCACCCAAAAGATGGAGGAGAAATCAGAGCCAGTTTTGTGCAGCACAGTCTCTACATATTAAAAAGAAATAAAAACGAGATGTTCCAGGGACAGAGGAAAGCCAGGCAATTTGCTCTGTGCCCTGAGCCAGGTGCAGGAGGAGCAGTTTACCTGTTGCAGAGGGACAAGACAGTTTTCTCACCAGCTCTTCCCAGAGAACTTGATTCCTCCAAAACCACGACATTCCCAGTGTAGGAAGCAGAAACGCTCTGGGAACAGCCACCAACTGCTTCCTTGTGGGAAATCTGGCTGCCTTCCTGTCCTTTTCTCACTTATGGAGTGCTAAATGCTGCCAGGTGCCATCGTCCCTAACACAGCTCTTGTATGGACTTTTACAGTCCCTGCATCCCTGCTCAGGCAGCAGCACAGGAATAGCAGCCAGCACAGAAAAACTGGATTATTGATGAAGTTATATGATTATTAATTACATTATTTATGAGTGCAGAGAAAACAGAGCAACAAAGCAAATTCCCAACAACCTGGCTCGCTGTGGGGGCTCCCAACTCCGCTTTGCACCATATCCTTTCAAAAATCCCTCTCCATCAGAAGAGCTTGTTTGTTGTTTTCTAATACAGCTATTCCAGTGCTCCTTCTGAGAGAGGAAGAATATTCCTGGAGAGGCAGGTTTTTTCCAGCCCTGTTAAATTGATTTGCTTTTAAGAATCACTGGGCGGTTGAACCACTCTGGCTCCAGCTTGTTTGTGCAGAACACTCTGGAGGGGTTTATTGAGATATTAAAATTAAATATGAAGTCACGGAATAAATGGGGCCTCCATTCAGTGTGCCTTGTAAATCCAGTTTAAATGGTTCCCTTTATTAAATATCCTTTCCTCTTAAAAATGGATTAACTGCTCTCGCCGGAGGCTCTGACGGAGAAGCTGTTGGATCCCTATGGCAACACCGTGCTCCCAGAGACCCCTCGCTCCGTGCCAGCCCCTCGGCTTCATCCCAGCCCAGGTATCCCCTTTTACCACCTCCAATTATTAATCAGCATCTCCCACTATTAATTACAACCCTGAGGCCAGCACTGAGTGCTGTGCTGCAACTTCCCACTGCCTCGGTGAGTCCCATCCCATATGGAACACATGGAGGTTGGATGCCTTTCCCAGCACACCTGGCAGTGCTCACCTGGTTCCTCCTCTGTTCCCCTGATTCTTGGGCTTGTTGTTTTCCTTTTCTTCCTGCTTTTGGCCTCAGTCTCTCGCATTGCCCAGTGCCACTCCCAGTGGCCCTGCAGAGCTCTCAATATGTTTTCCAGACTGGCATTTGGAATTTAAGGAAAATTCATGTATGAAGGGGTGATTTAGCTGGATTTTGGGGTTTTGCAGGAAGCTCAAGCAGTAGAGTCCTGGCCAGTCCCCATATGACCCCTCAGCACAGTTCCCTTCCCAAGGGCCAGATAGGAATTACCTTTCTGCCAAGGGCTTTATCACAGGAAAGAGCCTCCAGGAATGTCCAGCTTGACATTTCCAGAAAAATGGTTCCCCACACTGCTGCTCCAGGACCCTGAGGTTTTGGGCACAGGGATGCAGCCATGGCAGGAGCAGCAGCTGGAGAAGAACACGGAAAGCTCAAGCTCATTTTAATTCAGCTTTGAGTGACACAGGCAGTGCAGAAGCCATTCCAAGAGCGGCTCTGCGAGGCTGCGGCTGCTTTCCCATGGATGGAGCCTGTGCCAGCAGAGCTGGGGGCTCCCTGTGCTGCCACTGCAGCATTTGGAGCAACATGGAGCAGCAAGAGCCAACGCTGGCATGCAGGGATTAGCAAGCAGTTATCCATTATCTCCTCTCAAGCCCCCAGCTCACTGAGCCAAGTGTTTATCCCACATGGACGGGGTGAGAAGGGCACAGTAAAACAAAAAATTGCCCACACTCAGGTCCCTGGAGCCACCAGCTTAAGGGGATGTGTATCCCTTTTCCCTGTGTGGCACTAACCCTGCCAGGGCTGCTCCTGCCACCAGTGATGGGACAAATCCCACTCCCTGCACAGCTCCTCCATGGGCAGGGACAGAGCTGGAGCACTCTGTCACGTTCATGTGACAGTCCCAACTGCTCCTGTCTCTTGGCTCGCAGGGTTTTTGGCACAATCACAGCCAATTATAATCAGCAGCATTAAAGCCCCAGTTAAACGCAAGCAGGAGCTCGTGGCTTTCACTCCAGGTGGGAAGACACTTCAGCCAGTCCTGGATGCTGCTCTGGATCTGCTTGGCTGGGACATGTGGGGAGTGAGGTGAGGAAACCCCAGGAAGGCTCCCACAGCAGCATCAGGAGACCAGCTGGCACTTTCCCTGGAAAAAAGAGCTGCTCCAAAGCAGAACAAAGAGCCACACCAGCATCCCTGAATCTGCAGGACACTGCTGTGCTTCTCAAAGAATTGACTCCCAAAGGTCAGCAGCTCTCACCCTCTCAGCATGCTCATCCTGGTGCCCAAACCTTATCCAAAGCATCCGGAAGTGCCCATAGCCCAAACAGCTCCTTCCCTGCACCCCAACTGCCTCCTTCTCCCTGCAATTGCCACAAGGCTCTGTCACCTTCAGACACCACACCTGGAAATGAGGGAAATGGGACACAGTAGGTTGGCTCTGCCAGGTACCTGAACCACTGCTGGACATCAGAACCTGCCAGGGGATGCCTAGCTGGCCAAAGCCGGGCGGGATTCCAATGGCCACACCACACACCTCACGCTTTCCAGCCGGTGAGCCCACGCCTTCCTGACACATGGGGGACTCCAAGGACAACCTGCGGCCAAAAGGACTCTGCCACAGTGGCAGCAGAACATTCCTGGCAGCGTCAGTCATGACACAAGAGCAGTTTGCTGAATGTCAGATCCAGGAGAGCCGGATACGGCTCCATACGCCTCCCTCGGGTAGCAGATTTCAGCAGTAAATCCAATTTTGTTTGACATTAATCCCAACTTTTCAGCCTGCCACAGATTATCCTTCTGGTGACAGCTCACCACGCAGGAGGAGAGGGGATGGAAAAGCTTCTTCTTGGTTGTCTTTCCAAAGGACCTCTCTGAGGGAGCATCGATACCTGGATAAGCACGAGAGGCGGACGTGGGTCACACATAGGGGGCAGGTTTCTGTTCCATTTCTGGCTCCCACATCACTGATGGCTCCCAGGAACCAGATCACATTAAACCCAACTGGGAAATCTCAAATTGGTTCTTCAGCAGAAATCCCAGGCCATGGGGTTGGGAATATCATGCTCAGTAATCCCACAGCAGCTCACAAATGTACATGTCCCTGGATGAGCTCCTTCCTCCCCTTGGGAGGAAAATTCCCAGATGAATTCACTCCATCACTGTGGTTTCCTTTTTCAGGAATTCTCTTGGTTTGATCTGCTTCTCCAGGTCTGTGCTTCTGGCAGCTCCCTGTGAGAAGCTGTGCTGACAAGGCTGGGAGCAAGAAGGAAAAGTCAAGAATCCTCTAGCAAAATTCCTAATGCTAGGAAGAAATTTAATCAGGAATTTAAGAACATGTGTGGTGCCAGCAGGGCTGCAGGGGAACAGGGACTGAGGAACCCCAGCTCATCCAACAGGACCATCTCAGAATCTCCTGCTCAAGGTGACCTGGAAGTGAAAGATGCTGCAAATTTTCAAAAGATGCAGCTGGGGTCCAATGGATTATCCAAGGGCTATGGATGCCATGCCCAGCTAATGTGCATTGAGGCCATAAGCCACATGTGCCTCTTGCTCCCTTCTCTGAAATTAGGAGCTAATTCCATGTCAGACATTACTCTTTCCTTCTGCCCATTTTGCTCCCAGAACTCATCCCCTCCCTCCCCAGGCTGCAAGAGCCATAGCCCCAGGATGCAGCAGAACATCTCAACATGGAATGGAAATCATGAAAGTCAAGGAAGAGCCTGGGACAGCTCCAGAGGAGCCACGGCTCGGGATGTGTGGGAGTGGCTGTGTCACCACCCAGGGCCACGGGAGCTGCTCCCCCTGAGGATGAGTGTGCAGGAGCCCCTGCAAAGCCCCTGCTCATGCCTGTGCCTTCAGCCTTGCACCCCCAAGCTCTGTGGCTGGCTGGGAGCCCCCCTGAACAGCTCTCAGCTGCATGTGGCTGCAGACATTCCCACCAGGTACTCCCAATCCCATGATCCTGCTCCTCACTGCTCCTCAAGCAGGTTATTTGACTCCTGTCTGCTCTTCTCCCACTTGGAATCCCTCTGGCCCCTTGGGATGTCTGTGTAGATGGCTCAGCTAATGGGACCTGTCCTCAGGGTGCAGGTGGCGCTTGGTGCCACAGGGCCGTGACACTCAGATGGCAGAAGCTGGTGGAGAGAGCATTCCAAGGGAGACACTTTTCCAAAGGAACCTTCCCAAATGCTTCCTTCAGGGCTCCTAAAGCCTAGCTGAAACAAGATCTGTCACCACTACCTGCCCTGCTTGGACAGCAGAGACTCAAATACTCCACCGACTGTGGCTGTCAAGATCAGACTGGAGAAAAGTCAGTCAATCCCTGCCTATCCTGCTGCCACTTGCTCTATTTCCATGGAAAACCCAACAAATTGCTCATCCCACAACCATGAGCACCCACATCTGATCCCAAGCAATCCTAACTCCTGCAACCACCAGGTCTAGGCTGGAAGTTCATGCAGGAATGGGAAGAACAGTCCAGCACTGGTTTGTTTTCTAAATCAATACGATTTTTCAAATTTATTTTTTAAGAATTACTTCTAATATATCTTTCTCACAGAAGGAGGGAATAGGGAATGTTCTCATTCCATCTGTAAACAATGAAATACAGATCTGGGAAACCAGGGAAGAGACACAAAAAAGTGCATTTTACAAAATTATCAACTAAAATATATTTTACATGTATTACGCTTCAATTTAAATTCTACCGACTGCATTTTTCAGTTTCAAAAAATATTTCCATATCTAATAGATTAAAAAAGCAGGAAATCTTTTCATTAGGGATAAGACATTTCAGTTCATTTACATGCTGTTTGCACAACAGCATCAGCAACCACGTGAACCTCAATGTTCATGGCCTGAAGCAGATTCAACATGAGAAGAGTTCAGGTTTGTCCTCTCCAGAGCTGGACCGGAGCCCGTTATGGACCCAGGGCAAGGATAACTTCCCTGCTACATGGAGAGGAGCCAGGACAAGGTGGGAGCAGGGGGAGATGGGGCAGAAGGAGGAATTTCAGTGAGTTACTGTGTTTCCAAGGCTGGGTCTCACACCTGGGCCCAGCTGCAGCAGTGCTCAGGCTCACCTGGCTGGTGGGTCCGGCAGCATTCCGTGTCCAAAGCACTGCCAGGGAGAAATGGCCACTGCAGCTCTCCTGCTTCAGGTTCAGGGACAAAGGAGTCCCCATGAAACCAAACACGTGGATTTAGAGCTTCCCATCACCTCCCACTCACTGTGGGATGCAGCTGCTGCACTCCCCCCATGGCCGAGCAGATGCCATTCCCTCCGTGTCACAGGCAGGAGCAGCTTCACTTCTCCAGCATCCTCCCTCCCTGCTCAGGGGAAAACCACTTCATATCCTCCCCCAGAAGCATCAGAGAGCACAATCTCCAATGCCTCCTTGCACCCCTTCATCCGAGTGTCCCCACAGTGCCACCACTTCCCAACCCAACGCAGCCCCACCATGTCATTCCAAGAGACCCCCAGTGCAAAGCTAATTGTTCAGGAGAGATCTGGGCAATCCCTTTGACACCAACAGTATCTTGAGGTATAAGTGAGAGAAGATGCTTCACCTGACAATTCTTGCTTGCACACCTGGGATCCCCCTTCTTGGAGCTGGGTGTTCTCCCTGGGCTATGCAGGTGGGAATAAACAGGAATTTTCCAGCAGGAATCATCCACCAGCTGCAGGGAGATGCCTGCCTGCTGTGGCAGGTGCCAGACCTTGTCATCCCCTCCAGCCATTGCCTCCAGACACGTTTCCCTCTTTGGTATGTAGAGCAAATCTCTGGAGAACTCCTGCATGCCTGAACTATTCCATGGAAGGAACTGGATGCCATGGGCTTTCTCTCCAGGCCGGGCAGGTGTGTGGCCACTGGAGCAAGGTGACAAGCCCTGTGTCCCCAGGGAGTACAGGGAATGCTGCTTCCACTGACAGGACATTAAAGCAGAATGAACACTTCCACCATGGAACACAAGTTCAGAAGCCCCAAAAGACTGGGAAAATGCAGATCCCTCGATTCAGTGAGCAGCTCCAGCCAGCAGGAATTTGGGTGGCACGGGGTCAGTTCTGCTGTAAGTTAGTGCAATCTCGGGCTGGGCTCCCAGCCTGGTGCAGTGACTCCCCAGGATGTGACACTGTCCTTTGGTTTGCTTTGGGATTAACTCCAAGTTAGCGTTGAGATAAGCTAAGGTCTGTCTGGGATCTAAGGTCTGTCTGGGATCTGTACAGGTAAGGCAAGAGGCAGGACCTGCGGGCTCACACGGTCCATGCGAACCTTTCCCGATGCTCAGGTCCTTTCAGGAGCCACAAAGCCACTTTGGTGAGCTTGCTCAGACACTGGGATGAGTTTGGAGGGGGAGAGGCTGCTGACGACTTCAACAGCACTCCCAGGATCAGGACAGTCACGTGGGGAAGGAATTTTAAAAAGCCAAAAACACATAAGAAAAGGGTTTGCCACTTCCCCCTCTGGCTTCTTCCCACTGCAGACACATGGGGACAAGCAGGGTCTGTAAACGACATTACAGGAAACAAACTGGGAAGAAAGAGAAAATCCAGGGCCCCCTGAGCCATCAGAGGAAGAGCAACACTCAGAAGAGAAGAGGAAACATGGTTCTCCCCATCACAGCCCACTTTATGAGCTCCAAGCTTCCAAGCGACAAGTGCCAGTGAGTGCTTGGCCATGGGAATGGGGCATAAAATCCTGTGGGCTCAGCCAGGACACCTGGGACAGGACCAGCTCTAGCCCTACACTGCAGTGTGACACCTGCCACCTTGCCAGCTCCCTCTGCTCCACCATGGAACAAGCTCCAAGCTCCAGTCTAGGTGGGGAGGTGAGGGAAAAGACAGGGGAGAACAGGGGTCACCTCTTCCCCTGGTGGAGCAACACCTATCCAAGCATGACACAAGGCCTCTCTGCACCCAGGCAGCTCCCCAAGCTGCATTTTGAAGCTCTCACCATGGGAATCCTCAGAGTCTGTCCTGTGGAACCAAGGAGACTCTCCTGTGCTCTGCCAAGAGCTGGGCTCAGTTCAGGGCCCGAAAACCCCCGAGTGACCCAGCCAGACTCCACAAACACTGCACTGACACATCCCTCCTGCACCTTGGCGCCGTTCCCCCAGCCATGGCTCTGCACTGCTTCCTGGCTTTTATCCCCTGCAAACCCTCCCAATAGATGCAGCTCTACATACATATATAGATATAGATTTACTTATGCAAATCCCTATATCTATATACATATATTTATTTTTTTTTACGTATATATTTTCATTTATGCTTTTAATGAAGTGCTGTGCTTTCAGCTGCTGCCTCCCCCTCCAGGGGCTCCGCTCCTCGCAGGCTCCCAGTCCCAGGGCGGAGCGCTGGGCGCTCCCACCTGCAGCAGCATGAGGTGGGTGACAGTGCACAGGTGTCCCAGGCCACGGGGGGCGCTCACTGCCGCCCGCTCCGAGCCACGGCTGCGCTACTGCGGGTTCTTCAGGATGCGCCCGTGCCTGAAGTCGTAGACGTGACGACAGAGGAAAACCAGCTCGGGGTCCGTGTCCTCGGGCACCTTGCGGTGCAGAGGGGTGGAATACTCCTCCGAGGGAGGAACCATGATGGTTTTCCTGCCTGGGATCCCTTCGACTCGACGCTTTGCCAAGGCACAAAATCTGCAGGGCAATCACATCGGAAGAGTTATCAGAGGATCCTGGAATGCTTTGGGTTGGAAGGGACATTAAGGCTCATCCAGTCCCACCCCTGCCAAGGGCAGGAACCTTTCACTAGGTTCCACCTTCCACTAGTCCAGGTTGCTCCAAGCCCATCCAACCTGGTTTTGGACCCTGCCAGGGATGGGCAGCCAGAGCTTCTCTGAGCCAGGGCCTCACCACCCTCACAGGGAAAAATTTATTCCTAATATCCCATCTATCCCTGCCCTTTGGCAGTGTGAAGCCATTCCCCCTTGTCCTGGCACTCCAGGCCCTTGTAAACAGTCTTTCTCCATTTTTCCTGTAGGCTCCCTTGAGGTACTGGAAGGGGAAATTAGGTCACTCCAAAGCCTTCACTTTTTCAGGATGAACAATCCCTATTCTCTCAGCCTTTCCTCATAGGAGAGGTGCTCCATCCCTCTGATCAACCTGATGGCCTCCTCTGGACTTGCTCCAACAGGTCCGTGTCCTTCCTGTGCTGGGGATCATGAACTCATTCCCTCTCCTGTTGCCTGTGTCCTGCTGGGAGCCACAGCTGCAGCTGCTGGGGGATCAAGGGAAGGGAAGGAATGTGGACAAAGCTTTGCTCAAAGAGAACTCCTGCAGGAAGCAACACAGGTTTGTATTTCCATGCTGGTGGATATCGTACAGCACCAAATATGATAGCAATTTAAAGAAAAAAAGGTTTAAAATATTGTTTTTAGTGCTTTGGCCTCATTTTTGCTAATTAGCCCCTAATAAATGCTTATAAACTGACGTTTAGGAAAACAAAGAATTCAGGATGCCTTCAGGGAACATCTCTCAAAGGTGACCTGACCCAGAAGAGCATGAAAGAATTCCTGCCAGTAGCTGTTCCAGAAGACTGGGGTGTTAGAATGGAAAGGAACTGCTTTGATCCAAAGCTTGGGGATGGGGTTTTTTGTTTGGTTGGCTTTGTTTGGTTTGTTATTCTTGGGGTTAGGTTGGTTTTTTATGTTTGTTTGGGGTTTTTAAGTGTTCTCAAAAGCAAGGTCAAAATTCAACTTCTAAAGCATTTGTACGCCAGTTTGTTTTTAGAAATTCCAAGAGCAGAGCCGGGGCAAGGAGCAGGCTGAGGAGGAGGCCTCAGGCATCCCCTCCATGGCAGGGCTGCACAGACCACAAGATGCACCCAGCAGAACTGACATTTAAAGCATTGGTTTGCATTATGGGTTTGTGCCCATTCAATCCCTATTTTCCTTCAGCCCTGTGCACCCATCACAGGATGGCAGGCTGGAATATGGATGCTGGGAAGTTCCTACTGACAAAGCTGCGATTCAATCACCAACAGCTCAACTATAACAGCCCAAGTCACTGCTCCAAGGGGTGCTGCTGCCAAAATCCCAGGACCTGGTGTCCAGCATGAATGCTGGCACTTGTATCAGCAAGTTTTTGGGTAGTTTGGCACCTGTGGCCAACAAGGGATGGGTACATAGGATCTCTTCCTAGCTCACTTAGTTTTTAGCTCCAAGTTCCATGTTTTCCTGTACACCTGTTCCTGTCTTCCTTGAAACCACATGCAGTGGTCATACATGCATCCATATCTGGGAGTCCCTTGAGAGGAGCACAAAGAGGCTGGGGAAGGGTCTGGAGCACCAGGAGTAGCTGAGGAAGCTGGGGGGGGCTCAGCCTGGAGAAAAGGAGGCTCGGGGGGACCCTCTGGCTCTCCACAACTCCCTGACAGGAGGGTGCAGCCAGAGCCTGTCAGGCTCTGCTCCCAGGGAACAAGGGACAGGTTGAGAGGAAGCAGCCTCAAGTTGCACCAGGGGAGATTTAGGTTGGATATTGGGAGAATTCAGGGAAAGGATGGCCAGGCCTTGGAACGGGCTGTGGTGGAGTCCCCGTCCCTGGAGGGATTTAAAAGCTGTGTGGATGTGGCACTTGGGGGCACAGGTCCGTGGTGGCCTTGGCAGCTCCAGGGGAACAGCTGGACTCGATGATCTTAAGGGTTATTTTCCAACCCAAAAGATTCCATGATCCTATACAATCCAGACCTGTAATGGATGTGGAGCAGGAGAGGCTCCCTGCCTGCAGCAGAGCAAGGTCACTACCCCAGCTCCAGCCACAGCACCGCCCGCAGGCTGGGACAGTGGGGCTGGCTGGAATGGGCAGGGTGAGAGAGGCTGGAGGCCGGGGGAGGTTTGGGAAGTGCAGCAGGTTCAGAGCTCCACCTACCTGCAGTACTCTGCGAAGGTCAGCACATAGCACTTCTCCTCGATGCAGGCGACGCTGTTCTCGTCCTGGTGCCGCGACGCAAAGATCTCATTCTGTGCAAGCAGGGAGGGGACAGACAGGTCACCCAGCTGGCCAGAGCCCCGGGAGGCACGGCCAGCTGCACACCCGCACCCACCCAGAGAGGGAATGGGGAGCTCTGCACCTTCACCATCGCCAAAGCATGCCCACAGTGAATACTGTTCAGAGGCAGTGTCCCACGTAACCCAGGCACCTGCCGTGTGCTCTCTGCACCACGTTTTATCCAGCAACAGAGAGCAAAGGACTCTCCCACCATCTCACCCTGCCCAGCACATTTTGTGAGACCAAGTGCTCCAATACTCCACGAATTTCCAATGTCACAAAGCTCTTCAGCAGCAAGGCCATGGCTGGCTGCACCCTCAGTCTCCCCTTTTTTCCTGAATTCCCTAATCCATCTTTATATCTTAGAAACTTAAAGAAACCCTTCTTATCCAACCACTTCCTCCCCCCAATTGAATTAAAAAAGCTGGTTTAGTGAGAGAAGTAGCAACAGCCTTTTTCAGAATCATGGAATAGAATCCTGCTATGGTTGGGGTTGGTAGGGACCTTAAGGATCATTTCATTCCACTGCCTGCCATGGGCAGGGACACCTTACACTAGACCAGGTTGCTTCCAAGCCCCATCCAACTTGGCCTGGAACACATCCAAGGAGGATCAGCCACAACCTCTACTGGCAAACTTCTCTTCAACTTTTCCCAGAGTAATTTAGGGAATTAGGCTCTGCAGCAGGAAGGATTGGTTATACACAGGGTAACCCAGACAGAGCCACTGAGAAGAACTTCAGGTATGGTTAGATCAGCAGAGATGATCTCTGGGAACACGGATGCCCTGCACAAGTCTGGAAGCATTCCCTGCAGGCTCCATTTCTGCTTTGCTGGAAGGGAAAACTCACAAAAGGGTGAACATTTGGGGACAGGGTTGATCAGGGACACTGGGAATGCCACACCTGCCTTCTGCACCTTGGGGTTCTGGTTTACTCCTCGAGTCAAAACTACCTGAGTCACCCTGGCAAGCCTGGCCCAGCCCTCAGCCCAAGCTCTCTCTTGTTTGAAGAATTGTGTAATTTAAATGGCTTTGCAAAAACCTGGCCTAATTCCTCCTGGCATTCTTGCTGCACTGAAATGCAACTGGATACACTCACCTTTCATTTTTAAAGTGCCACATTTTGGTTTAGGAACTCACCTGTGCCCTGCAAACGAGGCAGTTACAATTCCCTGGCTGCTCTCAAACCCTCCCTCCCTTTTTATTTAAAAAAAGTAATAGAAATTAAGAAAGCACCAAGTTTTTAAAATTGGGTTGCACACAGCAGTGAATTCTTCATCCCCAGTTAAAACCAGCTTGTTCTGTCACCCAACACAAGCCCATGCAAAGCAGAGCAAGGCGTGAAGTCACAGTGATTCACACGTTTTTTCTTTAAAAAGCAACTCCATTATCCTGGCACAGCATCCTCAAGCCAGACTTTAGTTCTCATCATAAATCTATGCAGGGCATGGATGATGCATCCACGTTTCTGTACAAAACTAACACGTTTTTGGAGTTTAAGTAGCAGATTAAGGGATTTATTAAAAGGCAGCACATGACACAGGCACTTCAGTTTCCTGCAAAATGGCAGCAGGAGCTTTTGCATCAGGCTCTGCAGTCCTTTAGGAATTAGAATGTGCTTCTGGAAAGGTGTCTGATCTTGATTCAGTATAAACTTATTCTTCCTTACTCTTAAGGTAATAGTCAAAATTACTTTTTACTTCGTATGTGTAATTTTCTCAGATTAAAGGGAGAAACATCAACACTCAGCAGTTTCTGTTTGAGCCTCCATATAAGGAACTCAGCAGCTTTTTTGAGAGCCCAGATTTTCTCCACAGGACAATAAATCTGGGGGAAAAGCCCAACTACAGGACACCACCACTCAACACATCTGGCAGCAGCTGCATCCCAGCCAAGAGCGCTGTGCTGTGCTGAGCTGGAGGCCACCCAGGAATGCAGGAGATGTTGGGGCAGTGCCCCCCTCCTGCTGCAGGAGCACAGAGAGCCCGGGATGCCCTGGCCCTGGGGACTCACCTGGTGCATGCTGGGGTTGCGGCCTCCCTGAGTGTGCTCTGGTCTGTAATACCACAGGAGGCTCATCATCAGCTCCCCTGCAACAGCACAGATGAAAACAAGTCAGCCCTCAGCTCCTCCGAGTGTTTTCCTACTCATTCCCAGCTTCCTCCTGCTGCTCCATCCCCTTCATTCCCACAGTGCTCACGGAGAGGCAGCTGTGGCTGATAAATATTTCATGCTGAACTAGGTGTCCCTTTGTTACAGCAAGAAGCTGCATGGAGTCGGTCATGTTGCTTTTCCACTACACTTTCGCCTCCTTCTACTCAGGTTACAACATCCCAAGGAAGTCAGGCACAAAAAACTCCCCAAAGATTCAAAAATCAAATGTTTTCACCTGCAAAAAAAAAAAATCCATTCAGCACACAAGCTGCAAAAGATGCTCATCCAAAGGTGGGAACCTGCAGCATTGATTCCCAGGTTCAAGGCAGAATTGCTGCTGCACTGACACAACCACACTGAGCCTCACCACACCTTGATTTGGGTCTTTTACAGAATTTTTGGGGTTTCTTTTCCCCATTTTTAAGCACGACCTCTACTTTAAAGCATTTGGCTCAGCATCCTTCCTTGGCTCAGGGATTGCCAGTCAGACACCACATCTCACCATAAGGCCCCACAAATCCCATCCCCAGCTCTACTGGGGTCCATCAGAGCTGCTGCAGAAGAGCCCTGTTCCCAACAGCTCCCAGACCAGATGCTGGATTGAAGCAAACAGCAGCTCCCCCGATGTTTGAGCAATGAAATAATACAGGAGAGGGCTGCTAAGACGGGCACTTGGCAAATATTCTATGCTTCCATATCCAGGAAGATTTCCATTTATCAGCCCCAGACGAGTGATTAAGGAGCATTTCAATTGCTGAACAATCCAAATGGAAGCCATGGCGCTCATCTCCTCTCCATCACCCCGGTACCCGAACCAGCCTGCAGCTCTCCCTAGATCCATTCCTTCCCTGCTTCCAGCTCTCTCTGTTGAGCACACACACACACACTGTGCAGGCACAGTACCTGTCTTGGGGTCCTCCCAGAGTGCAGAGATCTTGGCCACGTAGGGCATGGATTTCTTGCGGGGCCCGGATTTGAGGAGCACGGTGTCCCGCACGCGGATGATCTCCCCGTCCCTCTCCACGGCCTGGTAGCTCTTGCGCACGGCCGGCTCCGGCTCGTTCTGCACACACAGGGACCAAACAACCCAGTCAGCAGGCAAAAGGCGACTTCATGGCTCTCCTCCATGAGGGGCAGCTCACCAGGGGGACAGCACATCTCACAAAAGCTCTAACTGCTGAAAATAATACTCTGATTTCAAATTAAACCACACTCGCTCCTTCCATTCTGCACGCAAAACCATAAACTTCAGGAAAATCACCTTTCCACCTGCCTACCTGGAGGCCTGCTTTTCTTTCCCATTCAAAGGCACTGAAAATTGTGTTTTGGATGCTGTTTCTCTGATACAAACATGGTAAAAACCAATAAAACATGAAGCAGGGCAGGGAGTGGCAGGGAGGCCGTGGCACAAAGCCTTCCTTAGCAGGACTGCCAATGATTCCTTTGTACCCTCTGACAGTACAAAATAATCACTTTTGGGACTATGAACCAGGGGTTTTTAGCATGCTTTTGCTCTGAGTTTCATTTCAGAGTGCCTGAGCAGGATGGTTTAACCTCCTGCCAGATCTCCCAGGCAGGATTGGAAGCATCCTAAGGAGATTATTGTCTCACTGCTCCTTTGGGGTGTTGACAGCCTGAGGGGTGGATGCACAAGGCCAGTCCCTGGCCCTGACAGGCTTCATTCTGGCACAGTCCTTGGCACCTGGGCACAGTCCCAAAGGCTAAAGCTCCAAAACCTGCCCTGGCTGCTGCTCCCTGCAGCCTGAGGTTGTGCTACCACACCAAGCAGCAGCACAGACCCCGCCTGGACCATGGCTCTCCTTCCTCCTGACATCTACTGCACATCAGTGCCTTGTCCCACCTTCCCAGACACCACGTGGGGCCCATTCCAAGCTCTTATGCTTTAATAAGATGAAGGATATTGCCTTCTCTCACAATTGAAGTGGACTTGACTGCACCTAATTGAATTCTCTGGCAGGAAATCTCCCATCTTACAGGAAGCAGTCTCTGCTCCTGAACGCAACAAATGGGAAAGTACAGACAGGAAATCCCTGGAGAAGCAACTGGTTGTGCCACCATGCAAGTTACAAGAAAGGGGATTTTGGGTGCTAGAAAAATTCCACCTGGGAGCCACTACACTGTCTCAGATTCTGTGTGCTGGGAGATTCTTCTGGGGCTACAGACACACTAAGCGAGAGCCACATCATGAGAGCTGCCTCTAGATGTGCCCCTTATAATTGAGGCTACAACAACCCTCAGCTTCTAAGACAGGTTTGCCCTACCCAGGAGAAAGCAGCTGGAGGACGATCCCAGCAGGATGGACTCCCACGTGCCTCGGGTGCCACCCTTGTACATGCCAGAGCTGGGAGGATCCATCACCTTTGAGCTGAGGCCAGCACAGGAGCAGCAGGTTCTCCTCCCCTCCCAAACCACACCGTGCAAGGTAACACCAGGACACACAGGGAACAGAGCCAGCAGTGCCTCTGCTCCCATCAGGTTCTAGACAGCACCTAGTGACCATCTCCAGCTGGAAGAGGACCCACAACTCCCAAGCCTTCACGCCTGGAGGTTCCCTGGCAGCTGTCCCTGCCCAGCCCCAGCACCCAGACACGTACCACGACGTAGACAGCCTTCTCGCAGGCCGTGCCCACGGGCATCCAGCCGTTGGTGGCCCTGCGCCGGCCGATGCGCGGCTGCTTGGGGTGGGAGTGGCCGCCCGCCGCTTTGCTGTTGGAGGCGTGCAGGCAGCCCGGAGTATTGCGCAGCCCCGACTTGGAGCCGCTGGGGGGCTTGGAGCTCTGAGGGCATTCTCGGGCCATGGTCTGAGGGTCAGAGTTGGGGGTCTGCAGGTGAGGAACGGGCTCTGCAGCCGGCGGCACGCTGGGCACGGGACATCCTGAGAGCGGGTGGGCAGGCGACGCAGGGTGTCCTGCCACCGGGATTGTGAGGTTCAGCTGGTCCAGAGACTTGCAGCCTTCTAAGGGAAGGGAAGAAATGAGTCACGGATCTCATCTGGAACGTAAAGCAACTACACAGCCGGGACTGTCCCACACCGTGGCCGCTTTTGCCCGAAATCCCCTTTATTGCATTATAGCTGTAAAGACTCTCCAGGCTGTAATTTCATTTTGCACTGTCACTGGATTGTAAAAGCAAAGCCATTTCCGAGCTTGCGTGTTCCAGTGCTCCGCAGATGACACTGCACCACAACAAACCCATCTGAATCCCAAGTAATGCCAGCCAGGAATACACACAAGGCTGGCCAGTGTCCAAAGCAGTTCCAGCCTGTCAATATGTATAAAAGAAATAAAAGGCTTATCGAAACAATGAGAAGGATTAAATCATGCTGCCAAAAGCAGCCAGCTTCTTTCAAAAAGCCAAATTCTACTAATCAGGGAAAATTGAGAAGATTCTCCAAATTAAGTCCAGAAAGATGAAACAAGGTGGAACACAACCACAAGATGCTGCATCCTCAGCAAAACTGTGTCCCTGCAGCAGACACAGGGACCTCAGCAGGTTGGAATTTGGCTGACGCTGCCTCTCAGAGCATCCCAGAAATACATTGTTCCACTCAGGAGTCACAAACAAGTCTCAACCCAGGCCAAGGGAAGAACCAGTTGTAATTATGCCCTATCAGCGGGAAAAGAGCTCCTGGACCAATACACCATGCACTCCTGTTCCCTAACGGGAGACTGTGGGGTGACCAGAGCACAGCTCCAGTCAGGCTCCAGGAGATGCCTCAGACCAGAGCTTACAAACCTGAAGGGAGAATTCCACCCAAAGCCACACAGCTCCAGCCAAAGAACTGCTGGGCCTCCTGCCTCCCCACCTTACCCTCCCTAAGGCTGCAGCCAAGCCACTGTGGAGCTGTGAGTGCAAGGGATGCCACAGATCATCCTCATCAATCAATCAATCAATCAATCAATCAATCAATCAAATCAACCCCATGTAGCAAATGCCACAAGAACTCCAGGCACTGGCAGGCACAGGACACATGGAGCAAGGAAACGCCTCTCAGGTATTTTGCTTACAAAAGCAGCTTTTAAGCTTGAGCTAGAGCAAGATAAAGCTTCACAAAAATCTTTACTGAACGTCAAAGCCCTGGTGCAGAACTGCTCTTGCTGGCACCCCTGGGACTCCATCCTTGGTCACGCACACTTCCAGCCTCTCCAATGGCACTGGCACTAAAGCAGCTCTCACAGCCTGTCCCAGCTCCTTTCCACCACACTGCTCAACCACTGCCCAGGATCACAGCCCAGTCCCTGGATTTGTACCACACAGACACTGATATTTCCCTACAAACACCTAGAAGACGCCAAATCAGACAGATGTAACACACAGCATTTGGTATGTCAGGCTGGATCCCTCTCTGATGGGAGCCTGCTGCTTGCAGCCAAAGTGCTGCTTCAGTTCACTCTAGGGAAGGAAAATATTTCAGAGGTGCATAATTATATAGAAATCAATCCCTAAGGCACCATCAATATTCTCTGAGACGTCCTTATATTCCTCAATCCACAAACCAAAATCTCAATGATTCTGGTGTTATAGGTTTTTAAATCCAAGTTGTTCCCAGCAAGGAAATCACAGCAAGGGAGATCTCAGTAGCGGGGTGACACACTAGCAAATACCCACTCCTGGAACTGCTGCTGCCCTTGCCAACACACTAGCAAATACCCACTCCTGGAACTGCTGCTGCCCTTGCCAGCACCAGGAGAAATCACTGAATCCACAGGCAGGGCTGAGCTCTGGAAAATACTCTGTCTGCACTGCCTGCATCCTTCTGGCTGCACAAAATCAGAGGCACTAGCATGCAAAAGCTGAGGAACAAAGTAGACTGGTATGACCTCGGGGCACTCCACAGGAACTGTCAGGCAAGAACACACTGCTGAGCTGGTTGTCTTGTGAGCACTCCCCTTTCAAGAGCTCTGAAGCCACCAGCGAGCCCTGTCTGGCTGCTGCTGCAGGAAGCAGAACCATGACAGCGGGGATATTTCAGGAAAACAGAAATTACACTTCAACCAAACACTCCTGAGCTTCAGCAGCTTCCTACAACGGGAGATGACAAAGCCTCGCTTGAACCAAAACTCCATCCACCTACCTGAAAATCTGTTCTCAGTGGGTAAGTCGTGCCAGCTCTTGGCTGGAACACGTGGTTAGTGCAAAGATCCCACGCTGGCACTCCCAGCAGCTGGAGAGCAGCCTCCTCTACAGACCAACTGTTTGCAGCACTGTCCAGCCTGGCGTTACACACAGCGCTGGTGTCTGATAACCCCCACACAGCACTCCACTTTTAAATATTTAAAAAGGTATTTTTCAATGGCAGAGGCAAAGCTCCAAGAAAAAGCAGGAAGTCTGAAAAGCAGGCGGGGACAGAGGAGAGCCAGGCAGGTAAAGATATTTCCATACCCCCTCACCCCTCCTCATTCCAGTGCTTCATTGTCAGACAGAGAGCAAAGATGGGCTCAAGAATTCCCAAACTAGCAGTGTGCCTGGCACTTAGACCACCACAGTGAAACTCCCTATGCAGCCCTGCCAGCTCTGATCAACCCATGGAATCCAAAAAGCCTGCAGTCCCCAGCTGGCACTGCTAGAGTCTAACAGCACAGGCAATGCCTGCTTCTCCACAGGCTCTGTGAGGATGCCTCAGCCCCCAGAGCGGGGCTTTGGGATGGGAGTAACTCATCCTGGTGTGCTCCCGACCCTCGGCTCAGCGTGGCACAGCGGGATGGCGTGCAGGAACTGAACCCTGCTCGTTTTACACAGATCAAAGCTCAGCCTCAGCCCCAGCGTGACAAACCGTGAGTCAACTTCTCGCTGACAAAATCCTTTCACCGATTCTCTGCTTTCCACACCAACAAGACCTTTCAGTGGCAAAAACCCCCCGGGCAAAAAAACGGGGGAAGGGGAGGTGGAAGGCGGATCCCTTCCAAGCCGCAGCTCGGCTGTGGAGCTGAGAACTGCTCGCAGAGGGAACCAGCCTCCGGGCAAGCAGGCACCGCGCTGAGCCACCCTCTTCTCCCAGGAACGCCGGCCGGGATTTGCGTGCACTTTGCACCTTACCTGCTGCAAAAGGCATTTTGTAGGGGTAGCTGTTCCGTCCCGCATGCACGCTGCCGATCCTGCCCTCCGGCACATGCACCACGCCGCAGACGCTGTAGCTGCTCACGGCTGCTCCCTCCCCGCAGCAGTACGGAGAGCTGCACCAGTGCAGGGGCTGGAAGTGAGCACCTGATGGCAAGGAACCGGAAGATACCAGGAGCCCCTCGCAGGTCGCAGCCTGCGACAGCTCGTCCTTGGGATAAATGGAGCAGGGGGAATAGCCACTGTATCCGCTTTGGCCGTAATAAACATAAAACCCGTTCATCGGAGTCAGATCTGAGGATTCATAGAGACATCCACAATCCGCGTGATTCCCGGGCACAGGCAAGGGAGGGAACTGCTGCACGGGAAAGGAAGGCTGATGAAATTCCTGTTTGGGGGTTGGGGATTTCTCTCCAGGTCTTCCATACTCCGGCTTCATGGAAGCTTGTCCTCCCATGAGCAAAGGCAGTCTGTGGTAGAAGCCCTCCGTGCTGGCGTAGGAGCCAGACAGCGACTCGTAGGGGACGGGCTCTGTTGTCCCATAGAGCCTGGAAGAGTCCCGCTGCTCCCCTTTCCCAAACGTGCCCACGGTCTGGCCTTGCCAGCCGTGCTGCCCATCCATTTTTAAGCTAGCCACTTCCTTCTTGGATTTGACACAGTTCTTCCGTCCGGCTTTGGCCCATTTGAGTGTAGATTTCGAACAGTGGTTCTCAGACTTGCCCTCCCCGTCCGATTTACTCCTCTGTTTCAGGGGTTGGTCTTTCTCATGGGTCAGCTTCAGGAAGGCCACAGCATTCAGGCTGGCCAGTCTCTTTGGGGTGGGATGGTAGGAGATGGCACCATCCTCCCTCTTTGCCCCATCATCAAAGACCTCATCCAGCGAACGCTCGCAGCTATTGCATTTCTGACTGGGCTCATGCCGGTTCTTTCCTTTCCCTGTTTTCACAGCCGGTTTTTCCAGGGCAGGCCAGTTGTCACCGGCTTTGCACTGCAAGCCCTTGAGGGTACAGTCCCCAGCAGCCTTCCCAGAGTCCCTGCGGAAGCGCCTGCCGGATAACAAGCCATCGTCCCGTTCGAACAGCAGGTTGTTCACCGCCTCGGCGTTCAGCGAGGCCAGCCGGCGCTTCCTGGGCTCCGAGGGAGCAGGATCAAAGTCCTGCTCCGGCCCGGGATAAGTTGCTGCGCACTTCTCCCTGGATGAGTCACTCTTGCCCGCTCCCACAGGCTGAACTTGTTCCGAGAACAAAGCAGATCCCAAACCCTCAACCCAGCTGGCAAGGTGCTTTTTTTTACAGCTCGGGGTCTGTTTGGACAGAGAGCCAGCCACATCCTCCAGCCTGGTGAGGAGGACCTTGCAGGTCTTTTTGCTCACCGAGGGGAGCAGCCGCCTCCGCAGCGGGTACGTCTTTCGCACTTCGCGCAAACTCTTGCTTTTGTTATTCCCTACAAACCCACTGGGACACTTTGGAGCCTTCGAGGCATCTCCGTCCCGCTGCTCTGCGTTGGCCCTGTCCATCCTCCTGCTGCCTGTTGGCGACGAGGCCTGGCCAGCAGAACCAGCTGGATGTTTCAGAAGGAAAAGTTGTTTTTTCCGGGCATGCGTCATAGGATCAATGTCCAATCCTGGGAACGAACGGGAGAAAACATCTATTAATATCGCTGAGAGGGTCCCATCTCCTCACGAAGCACCAACTGCCAATTAGGAAATATTTGGGGAAGCTTGTTTCTATACAGCAGAGTCTATTTGGGTGATGGCCAGTTAAGCCAATTAAGAGACAGGATGCAATTAGATGTGGTTTAATATTAAGCCATGGAACACGACAGTAATTAAAAGCCAGGTGGTGATGGCAAATGCCACAGCAGCTGGGGAAAGCTGGGTCCGGACAGAGAGCCATCCACCCAGCTCCCTCTTCCACTGATGCTGTTCCTAACACCTTACAAATTCCCACCAAATCTCCAAAATCTGAAGGCTGGTCCAGGGCACAGAGCAGAAATAACCCCCGGCCTGTGACTGCCTGCATGTTGATACAGGCAAGCTGTTCCAGTTTCATTTTCTGAGACAATTAGGCAAAAGAAAAACAAAAAGTCCACCTACTCAGGTGAAAAGAAAACCTGGGCTATTAAGCAGAGACCTGCCAACATTAATAAATTAAATACATGCAAATCTCTGTGCAGGTTGGAACCTGGCTGCCCACTTGCTCTTGTCATTCCCTGTAGTTGTGTTTTATAAAAGTTGTGGGCATCGAACACCAAATCACAATGGGCAGAGGGGCCCCAAAGATACATTCATGGCAGGAAAAAGAAGCCTGGGCTTCCTGAGTTATCCAGCGCCCGATTTTTAATTAAGAAATTCTTCAGTCTACAGCTTGGAGGTCCAAGGCTGAGAGAGGATATGGCTGGGTGATACCAACCTAGAGACATTAAAAATGTCAGTGTAAATGGGTGATAGTGGAATAGATTTAATGAAGTCTGTCTCCGAGCACCAGACACAGCAGCAAAGGACAATTACTTTCATTCAATGGTATTTACAAAATGGTCAAATTCCATTTATTGGCAGCAAAGAGCTGATCTTTTTATCAGCATCCACCTAGGATGGGTTTGCTCTTCCCTGCAATCAGGATTCAGGCTGTAACTCCCCTCAATTGACACTGGTCTGCCACTTTTGAGGCTTTTAATTAAAGCTCCTACTGCTTTGGCAGTGATTAGAACAAAGCTCCCGAATTACAAGAACTGTTCATTTGATATGGTTTAATCAAGCTGATAATTAGATTATCTATTTGAAATAAGCCCAATGTGTTTTAATTGCCTTACTTATATATGCATTAACTAAGGGAAATTCAGGAATTGAAACCCGCTGGGGTTTGCATGGTGCTTTTTTAGATGTCATCCTCTTGGCAATGTGTTTTTGGGGTGACTGAGTTCCTCCACCCCCTTAAACAGGGTATATCCCATGGCTGGTGCCCCAGGAGGAGAGCTTGGTGGGGAACAAACACTTATAGATGTCTACACTTTTCTTATTAGAAAACCAGGCTCTGGGAATTAGGAGGATCAAGTCACACAGAATTTCCTCCAGAATTGAATTATTCTTGCACAAAAGGCTAAATTGACCACATGCAACCTCCGGAGTTTGGAAGAGAAGTACAGTTTTTAAAAATGGATCAGGCAGAGCAGGATTTGGCAGAAGCAGAACAGGTATCCTGCAGAATGTGCCCTGGGGAGGACAACTCTTCCCAGGCTATATGGACCAGTGACTTCCTTGTAACTTTCATCCTATTTTCTACTGTTCCTACTGAGAGACTGAGCCTCTGGTAAAAATCCCAAACTAAAAAGCCATGGTTTGCCTTAAACCCAGCATCAGGCACCTTGTTCTTCTCAGGTTTCCACAGGCAGGAGCCTGATCCAGCCTAGCACCACACATCCTGGGGGATTCATGCTCTCAAACTGGGTGCTGTAGCTGCGACTGTTCATGCCAGAGATGCTCTGAAGTTAGGAAAAGGCTGGGAGGGGCTGAGGGAAGGGGGTGTAAGAGAACTGGGATTGTTCAGCCTGGAGAAGCTCTGAGGTGACCTAACTGTCCATTCCAGCAGCTGAAGGGGCCCACAGGAAAGCTGGAGAGGGGCTTTGAACAAGGGCCTGGAGTGACAGGACAAGGGGGAATGGCTCCACCCTGACAGAGGGCTGGGTTAGATGGCATATTAGGAATAAACTCCCTGCGAGGGTGGCAAGACCCTGACACAGGCTGCCCAAAGAAGCTGTGCCTGCCCCATCCCTGGCAGGGTCCAAGGCTAAGTTAGATGGGGCTTGGAGCAACCTGGGATAGTGGGACGTCTCCCTGCCCATGGCAGGGGGTGGAACTGTTTCAGCTTTAAGATCCCTTCCAACCCAATCCATTGCAGGATTCTATGATTCAGTGCCAGCATCTATGGAACAAAACCTATCTTCAGTATGGACTACTCAGGTTTTTCCACACCTCCACAATCACCTGCACTGCATGGATTGCTTTGTGAGGGGGATGCCCCTGCTCCCAGCTCACCTGGGATCCAGCAATCCCTGCTCTTCCCTCAGCACAACACAGAGACAGAGCTTTTGAACACAGCTCAAACTCAGCCCTCTGACAGGCAAATGCATCATTCCTCAAAATCAGAGTCCTGCCGAGCTTCCTTCCAGCGAGTATTGTGCTCCTGCCGGCTGAGAAGGGAGAGTGGCAGAGCTCTTCATCCTCTCTCCACCTTTGTATTGCTTCACAAAGCACAGAAAAGCTGCCTGTGCCCAGAAGTCTCCAAGAAAGTGCGAGACAATGTGAAGAACTGAAAGATACTTAAATCAGAACCACCCATTTATTGCTCGTGGCTGAGGAACTGGATTCATGGTGAGAAGACAGTGAGGCGTTGGAAATTAAAGTTTCAAGCAGCTCAGTCTATCCAGCTGCATGCAGAGTCCACCAAGCACTTTAAAGCTAGTTGGAATTGCTGTCTCCTTATCATACAAATCACAGAATGGGGTGGATTGGAAGGGACCTTAAAGCTCATCCCATTCCAACTCCCTGCCGTGGGCAGGGACACCTTCCACTGGCCCAAGTTCCTCCAAACCCCATCCAACCTGGCCTTGAGCACTTCCAGGAATGGGACAGCCACAGCTTCTCTGGGCAGCTCCTTCCTCAAACCAGACTGGTTCTGAAAAACCATCTTTTCAGCTGCTGAACCCAAACCAGATCAGGATAAAGAAAAATTAAAACCACTTCTAGTTTCGTGCTAGAATAAAACCATTACCCAAACAGCAAACTCAGGAGAGAGTTGATGCCTCATTAGCAGGAAAAGAAGCAAGTGGGATAACAGCTGCATGTTCTGTAATCATGCAGCTGCAGCATCTGTCTCTCTCTCTCCAGCACTTGATTGCAAGTGAAATTAGAAGAAACTAGTCTGGGACTACCCCTTCAAGCCCCATTTCCTCTCCAGAGCTTCACTACGGAGACGCGCGCGTTCCAAGAGACGATGCCAAAAGCGCAGAAATTAAAGCTTTTAAAGCTCCTAATCCATTTGGCACTTCAATAACACACAAAGAGTTACGACAACACCGATCCTCCTCTCCACGCACGGCACCGCTCCGATGACTCTCAGCCCCATCTACTTGAATCCTGTCTATCCATTTCCATTGAAACAGCTTCTGCTGTGACAACAGCCCTACAACTGTGAGTATCTGGAGGATTGGCTCCTTCCTCCCTGCTGCTTTTGCAGGCGAGTAATTCCCAGTGCTCTAAGGAACGTGCTGCATGGAAGAAGCCTTGCAGGAGCTTTGGGAAATCCGGATAAATCGCAGCAGCATCAGGTATTCCCGGCTGAGTTCCTTGAATGCCATGCACGTCCTGTCAGTGGAAACATCTCCTCCCTCTCAGACATTCAGAAAATCTGTAGCTGTTGGAAGCTACAATGTGTCTTCCCAGGGTCCAGTCCTGATTTTTCTCCTGAGATCCATTGAAAGCTCCATCATTCACATGCTCTGGAGGAAACTGTTTATACAGAGCTCATTAGGCTGCAGCAAGGGCTGGCTTCTCTCACTCATCAGCATAGCTCTGACCATTGTACCAGAGCAGGGATAAATGGGATACTGGGGGAAGAAATTCTTCCCTGTGAGGGTGCTCAGGCACTGGCACAGGTTGTTCAGAGAAGGTGCGGCTGCCCCTGGATCCCTGGAAGGGATGGATGGGGCTTGGAGCAACCTGGAATAGTGGAAGGTGTCCCTGGCCATGTCAGAGGGATGGATCTTTAATATCCCTTCCAATTCAAACCATTCCAGGATTGTATTATTCATTGCCAGCAGCTCCTGAAAAGCCATGTGGACACGCAGCCTCCACAGCTTCCAAAAGGCTCATAAAAAGGGATGTGGGGCAACTCTGGCACAGCCGAGAGGATCTCTGGGAGCTGTCCCGGACTGCGCTCTGCTTCACTCCTTGCTCCAACGCCCCTAATTATCCCCCCATTGCGAAAGCCTGTGTGTGCTCCACCACCCGGCTGGGAGCTCTGCAGCCCGTGTGTGGCCGTGATAAATCACAGCCAACTGCAATGAGAGCCCGGGGCTCCACAGCCCGAGAGCTGAATGTGTCCGACAGGGAGCGAATCCGGCCGGGTGCAGCCTGACCCGCGCTGCCCGGAGCCACAGCTGGGAACACCCCGAGCAGCTCCCGGCTGGTTCCTTGGGAAGGACTGCCTCAGCCTCGGTTATCTGCTTCCAGATCTTGCCTAGTGGCAGTGCTCTGTCTGGGGAAGCCAAAATTACATTTCTCTGGCTGTTCTCACACTCTCTGCAGCCTCAGCAAGCGGCATTCTCAGGGAAGAGGAAAGGGGAAAAAACAGGGGGAAGAGCCGGGGGGAAAGAAGAGGGGGATAAAAAGAAAGGGAAAATAAATGGGGGGTGCAAAGAAATGGGGGATGAAAAAGTGGGGGGAAAATGGAAAAAGTGGGGAGAAATTGGGGTGAAAATGGGGTGGGAAAAGAGGGGAAGAAATAAGGGAAAAGGCAAGAAAACACCAGTGGAAGTGAACAATGTACAAGCGTGGGGGAGAGTCACGGGATATTTCCTCAAAATCCACAACAGGACAGGTTGTTTGGGCAATTAACACAACCCCG